AAAGAAAACAAAACAAAAAACAACAGTCCCAGTTTGAGCAAAGTACTTGCAGGAAAGAAAAGAATTTACTGCTATATATCTACTGGGTTTGTTTTTGGTCTATCCAAGCTAGTGGCATTGATTAGATTAGATTTTTCAGCTGCCAAGAAACGATAAAAGTATTACTTGCGCCCCCCCCCCCAAAAAAAAGTCAAATGTCTTTTATAATTATATGAGAAAAAAATACTCCTGCTATCTTTAAGAACACTCGTATTTCACTGAAGCAAGCTCTGGAGGTGGTAACAAATTACCACCAGATGTGAAATTCAGGCTATGGTCAAGTTCAACTGGGAAGCAGAACAGCCCCAATTTGCTTCTAAATTTGGATTCAACCAATAAAAATTTGTGATCACAACCTCTGGCCTCCTCTTCTTCCTTATGAATCATAGAATTATTTTAAGCATTAAAAAATCTAGCCCAAAATTTCTCATGTTGTAGACGAAGAATTGAAGGCCAGATACTGAAATGCAAAACAGAAAATTTCATTCACAGAAAAACTTATCAGCAAAACTCCACAGGCTCTGAAACGAAGATTTTGTTTTTTTACTGTGGTTTCCTGAGGTTAGGGTTGAAGGTAGAGAGCGGGAAAATAGCCTCAATCCTTAAACAAAACAAAACACCCCCACGTGTCTAGCATTCACTAACAACCTCCATAGGCTTGAAGGGTCTGTCATGAAGTCATTCAACCCAGCTGGCTCAAAGCAGGGCATCACTGCCCCCACTTTGGGGTCAGCATCATGGTAGTAAAAACCTCGCCTAGAACTGACTCAAACTGAGCAGCTTGTTCCTTAAGCCCCATTAGTCCCCAAAGCCATCTACAGGCAGATCAGTGAGGCCACAACTAACGGGAAGAACAAGTTTTCACCAAGTTTTTTTGGGGGGGTGAGGGGAACACAAAAAAAGAGTAAAATATGTAATAGAAACAATGGTTACAAAAAGGGAACTACAAACACCTGGAAATACACAAAGGCAATATCTGTTTTGTAATATCTTTGGAGCCATTGCCACACAGTCCTTTGTGAGAAAAGCTGGTCTTTCACATCAGATTCACAGAGGGTATTATCAGCTCACGTGCCAAAGCTGATGGTTCTGTCTACCGTAATATTAGCTTCTAATCATATAAACCATCTGAGTGTCATTTTTCCAGCCTCAAAACTCAGTTCACTCTCTGGAAAGACAGAACTTGAGGGATAGGGTGGCTGGGAAGGGAGGGAGAGGAGGCAGCATTACCCTCCTGCTCTGACCACTACACCTTGGGGTTAAGCAGAGCCCGTCACGTGACGATCACACCAGGGTAACAGGCCATTTAGGACCAGTGTCTGCAGCCGCCGCCCGAGAATCCAAAGCTTTCTGGCAAGAGCTGACTGGAAACAGGCAGAGCTGAGAAGGAGCTGGTAATACCCTCTGTGAATCTGATGTGAAAGACCAGATCAAACAGCAGGATGGAAAGCCTATTATTATTGGATCATTACAAAAAGAAAATTGGCATTAGTGATTGGCCAGAAGAATAAGCCTTCTTCCAATTATCTCCACAAACAGACAAGAGGCTCAGATTTCTAATTAAATATCATAGGCACAGAGTCAAATATTTGCGTCAGCAGAGAAGTCACCCAGTGGTTACACTGCTTTCCTCTGAGCCATTTGTCCCATCTGGCTAGCTCTCTACCTTCATCCCAACCAAACCTCAGCTGAAGACGAACCTTTGCCCGGATAAATATGCTTCATCAAACGTGCTGGTACTTCTAACTGAAATCCCTAGAGCCTAAGTCATTTTAACATCCCTCTGGGTCAAAGGTCTGATCACTTTACTGCACGGGAATAGGATCCACCAGGACCAAGGAGAGCCTGCAGAATTCCTGTTCCTTGACCCCATATCCAATGGACGAAATAGGACTCAGGAGAACTGAAGGGTGAGGGTGGTGCTGGGAAAGGTAGGATAAAGAGAAGCTGAGTATTGGAATGAATGAAACAGTTAGAACGTTTTGGGAGCTCAAGATGACCTTCAGGTTCCCAGGGACCAAGATCCACAAGGGCTCAGAGTGGCAGCCCCCGGAGGCACATCAGTGCTGTCAGCCTGGACGCAGCCCTGCCAGCACCGCAGACACACACACAGCCTTCTAGACACCCAGTGCACTCGGCCTCTTCACTGGCCTGTTTATTTAAGCATCGGATGCTTTGATGTTGGGTACAAGTTGGAAGTAATATGTAAAGAAGCAGTTAATGCCAGGAGCAGAGGGAGGACAGATTAGGAACAATTTCTGACTATTAATCATCAGTTTTAAAGACATTGTCAAGTGGTCTGCACACAGGAATGAGAAACAAGGAGACTGTCAGCCATCACTGAAACTCTGGCCAAAGTACTGCATCTGTTTCTTTAAGGCAGAGTTTCATGCCTAACCACAAAGGGGTGCTTATAGGGAGGATGTTTTAAAGACATCCAACTCAGCAACCAACGTTAATAAAATTATCTAGGCACGCTCAATTTGTCTCATGTACAACTTACATGCTCCAAGCACGCGAAAGAAAGAATCAGTTAAAAGTGCGGCATGAAGAGTTTGGGGTTAAAAGCAGGAGGAAGGTTATTTATCGAGTGTAAGAAACGTGCACACTTGTTGGATTCCATGAGTGAAGAAACGTGAGGTTAGGTCACTAGGGCACAAGAACGAAAACCACTACCATGCTTCAGTTCTGCTTTTGCTTCCTTAGGATTAAATGCCGATCTATTATATCTCACGAGCCAGGTAAGCCACAGAAACAGGTCCTGGGGATTCGCTAAACCTTGAGGCTTTTCGTTCTCCAGGCTGAGCACCTCTCCTTTGGGTCTTGGGACCCAGGCATCCAGTGTGTCTCGAACATCTGGAAGGGCTTCCCATACATTATGCATTGATGGGCTTGACACGAACAACAGTTACAATAAGAAAGAAGAGAACCAAGAACTTTTGATTTTTCTTGGGAAGCGAATCCTCTCATCTCATAAAAAAGTGACTCCAAAGGCACTTTCCCAGCCGTACAAAAGTATACGACGTCGCTAATAAAAAAGCAGTTCTGGCATGCTGGTATTTTTATCTCACTCTGTTTATAAAGGTCCTAAAATACTAAATCTCTTCAATACAGTTTGGGATGATTTATCGTGAGTTAAAAATACAGAACTAAAGAGCGGAACAGAGCACTGCATGACAGTTCCTGGTAAAGGAGGACGCTCCCTAAGAACTGCTTCGCTCATCCTCTTCTGTATGCATGTTCCAAAGAGGACAGGATCTCTGAGGAGACCACAATATTTTTGTTTTGTTTTGCTTTTATTTACTTTTTTTTCCTTTCTTTCCTTTTTCTCCTTCTCCTCCTCCTCCTCCTCCTTCTTTTTTTTGTGAGACCATGACTGATTAACAATTGCAAAAATAAAATTTAAAATTAGGTCACTGGAAGAAGACTGAAAAAAAAAAAAAAAAGCTAAAAAAAAATCACTGGCAATAGTAGCCAAATAAAATGAAAACTAAAGTTTCTTTACTTACCAGACTTCAAAGAATAGGGTTTCACATCTGCTCTTGATTTGGCCTAAGAACACCCCAAACCAGTTTTATCAACCTCTTGCCACAGAAATCAATGCACTACAAATGACATATCAATTCCGACTAAGGAGGGAAGACTTCCACTAAAGGAATGAACCCAGAAACAGCAGCAGATCCTGTCAACCAGGAAAAGAATCTGAAACATGGGGTAAGAAGACCGCGTCCAGGTGGCTCAGGAAGGAAGTGGCCCGTTGTATATGAAGCATCTGTGTTGCAAAGCCACTGCATGGATGTGGAAGTCTGCACATTCTCCTCTTGGCCCCTCATCAAACAGGAAGACTTTCTAGTACTCATTCCATCCTATCCACACCCAACCTGTCCCACCCGTCAGCACTAGCTGGCCACCTTCCCGCAGCTGCTGCATGGCCCGCAGTAAGCGGGCTGACCCCTGCCTGCCTGGGCCTTGACTGCACCTGCCCTGGGTCTCAGGTCTGAGAATGCTGCGCAGGTAGCGAGCAGAGCCTGGCAGGAGGAGACGGTTCCAGGGGAAGCAGAGATTCCACTAATATGCATGTGGTTATCCAAAGATAGGTAGCTAACCACTCAACTCTGCCCCATGCACCTCTTTGTAAGAGGAAGGGATATAACTGAGAAAATACATTAAATTGAAAATATGTTATGCAAATGTGGGTAGCAACAATTCAATTATTATTTCTGGAAAAAACACGAGGAAGATGCCCAAGTTGCACGGGAACAAGGAGCCAGGACATTCCTAACAACTGGCTTTGTCAACCCAGTGGGGCACAAGGGTTGAGCTGCTTGTCTCCAGGGACAGGACTGCCACAATTTTTTAAAGTTTTCCACTAGGACCGAGCTCAAGGCAGATCTACGACGTGTTTCTCAGCCGCTGAAACCCGTGTTACAGTGCACAGACTTCCTGGTCAGAGCCCAATGCCACCATGGAAGGTCAAACTGACAGCGCTTGGAAGAGAGGTGACATACATGGGATCGCCCCATTCCTTGCCCTCTGCAAACAAGCTCAGTTGCCTAACCTCTGCTCTGGGATTTCTGAACACCGTGCCCACCTCAGAGTGCTGGCCCAGAGGACACAGCTTGGGTTCTGCGCAGCCCAACTTTCCTGCAAGCTCTTCAGGGGCCCCTGTCCCCCGCCCTCCCCGCACAGCGCGACCGGGCGCCGGCTGTTTACAGGACGGAAGCCCGCCCCGTCCGGAGGTTTGACAACTTGGGGGAAAGAATGCCGTGAAGGCTCGCTCGGCGGCCTCCCCTGTGACGAAACACAGCCGCGTCCCCGGGCCGCTCCGGGGCCGACCCCCGCCCGCCGCTGCTTCGGGGCCGCGATCGGGGTCCCCTCGGCGGAGACGCCCGGTGCGGGGGGAATGGGGGCGGGGGCGGCACCTCCCAGTCCCGGCCCGGCGCCCCGGCCCGGCCCCTCACCTGGTGCGTGTTGTTGACCAGCCTGGAGACGAAGTCCGGGATCCGGCCGCAGTCCCGGTCCGGGTCCTGCGCGCTGCGGCGCCAACGGCCGCGGGGGAACGGGCCGCCGGGCGCGGCCGCGCGCAGCCCCCAGCTCACCCCGACGGGGCCCCCCCAGCGCGACAGCGGCGCGGCGGGCGGCGGCGGGGCGTCCAGCCGGTCCTGGCCCAGCGCGGCCTGCGGCAGCAGCGAGAGGCCGAGGAGGAGGAGGAGGCCGAGGCCGTGGCCGTAGGGCCAGCGCGAGAGGCCGTCCGCAGCTGTTCGGGGCCGCTCCATCGCCGCCGAATGCCGCCGCCGCCGCCGACACCTGCCGCCCGGCGCCCGCCCACCCCGCCGGCGCCGCCACACCCCCGGCGCGGGCGCTGCCTGGATACGGCGGGCCCCTCCGCCCATAGGCCGCGCGCCTGTCCTTCTTCCCCGCGCGCTCCCCATTGGCTCGCGTCGCCTCCGCTTCGGGGTCCTGCATTCGGATGCCAAGATGCGGGACTGATTGGCTGGAACGTGGCAGAGACGGCTGAGGTCATCCCCCGCCCGCCTCGCCCGCGGCTCCGGGCCCCACTTCCAGAGTTGGCAGCAGCCTCTCCCCCACCCGCGAGGCTCCACGCCCGGGACGCCCGACCCCTCGCGGCCCCCTCCACTTGGGCCGGGTTCGTCGCCTCTCCCCCAGAGACACCCCCAGATTCTTTGGGTTGTGGCAGCGCCGGGAAAATCTCCCCAGGGAACCCCTGAGCTGGCTCAGCTGGAAAACGGGGTTTGACCACGAACCGGTGCTTCAGGTTTTAAGCATTGTCTACCGAAGCAGCCGCCTCGTTGCCAAGAAGGTGAAGGCGAACTGTGTGGGCTAGGGCCTAGGGAGAAGATAGAATCAGGGCGTTCCTGACTCATGCGAACTCAGAGTACCTAAAAACCTCCACCACGCATGGCCTCCCGCTTACCTTCCTCTTCTGCACGGAGTTCGGCCAGAGGTGGGGCTGCTTATTGGTCTCCCTGGAGGTGGAAAGTAGCCCAGACTTTAGGGGCAGGTCAAAGCGGCCAAGACGCCTGTCCAGTGCCAGCTTCAGGCAGGATCGTTTCATGGATGCATGTTTAATCTCCGCCAAAGCGCCTAACCCTGCAGTTTATTTGCACAACTTCGGTTTTTCAGTAGATAATGTGCCCTAAACTAGCACCCCGCCCACACTAAGTAAAACAAAACCCTTCTGCTGGCCCCTTTATTGCAGGAACGGCACACATAACTTCTATAACATGCAGTCCGGGTGAAACCAGTTCTGAACCTTAACCTTCACTGATTCCATCTCTTCAGAATGCTTGCTAGAAGTTGTTTTAAAAAGGCAGCAAATAGAAAGATACCAAATATGCAAAATGTTACCCCCAGATAGAGAAAGCTGCTAAAAATTACTTTTAACTATAAACTGTAGGCAAACACAAAAGAGAATCTAATCATTGTAGGACAAAATGGTGCACTATACCCAACCCAATGTTTACAGTAAAATCCTTCTAGTCACATTAATTTGAGGACAGAGATTTACAAATTTACATTCCCCCTCTCCCCCCAGAACCATAGTAAGATGAGAGAAGTAAAAAATATTTTTGGATGACATCTGAGCAGGATGGGAAGTCACTAGAATATCTTCCAGGTTCTCAGTTACTGAAATGACAAGACAAAGCACACCAAAAACATGAACATGTTCCTTTCCATCCACGACCCTGTGTCAGGTTACTTTTCATAACACTGATTACTTTTTAATCTATGACAACTGATGGAGTAGATCACAAGACAGTCGGTTCCAGCAGCATGTGATTAGCTGTGGGGAGAAGAGGGGCTACACAAGAATATTTCTTTGTTTAGTGACACAAAGATGAATGGTCTATTGTCTTTAGTCTGAGAAGAAAAAAAGCCAACTCAACGATGCCATCTTCTGGAGAAATTGCTAAATACATTTACACTTTAACAAATATTAAGTTGTTACAATTATCTATACCTTCACTTTTTAATATGTAGCTTTTACTTATCATTATATGCTTCCAGAACATATAGTTCCTTCCTCAAAACTTAGCTGCTAAGGACATGATATCTTGTATAGAGCACTGAGAAAATGAGTGAATGTTGTTTTAGTACTTCAGTCCGACACAGGCACTAAATACAAAAGTTGCCCTCTCAGGCACATGAAATCTTACCCGACTTGCAGGATTAAAATATGCAAAGTTTCTCCCAAACTTTATTACAGAAAGATGAACAGAAAGCAGTTAAGTATCAAAACCACTTTTCCCAGTACTACTAAGGTAATTTCTTTGTAAACTGGACATAAGAAACTTTGTAGAACATTTTAAAACTCTACAAAAACGCTAAATTGTATCTCTTTCGAGAATGCTACAATTCTATTATTTCAAGAATTCTATTAGAATTGTAAAAGGTGTGAAATTTATTGTTTCAGCAGTGGTGTAAGGTACAAATACCCTGCTCAGGCACTGCAGGCTGAAGCTGAGAGACACACTAAGAGTTACTCCTTAGTATTTTTCCCCTACATAATCCATGTGACCCAGAGACACAACTTTCACTTCTCCCTAAAGCATGTTTTGTCCATTTCCACATGTTCTGGGCAGTGCAAGTCCATTTCAAGTCTCAATGAGATTTCCCTACAACTGAGTAGATGTCTAAATTGCAAGGGACATGGTGTTGTAAAATCAAATTATTTAAAACCAGAAAATCTGAGTTCAAATCAATTCCCTTTTGTTTCCAGTCCCACAGCCTTAGATTCTTCATCTGTTAAGTACAGTAACACCTACTTCAGATGGCCACTTTTGAGGCTCCCATAGACCAGTTCTTTAAATAATCTCAACGAGTCTCATATAACGGCAGCTCTACTGGGGGGAAGTTCATAGTACATTCCAAAGTGTAATGTAAACTAATTCTGAATTATGTCATTCTCTCTTCCTGATTTCTGATTGCCAGTGAGTCCAAGATCATGAATTCAATTCTTGTTTCTTTCTTTTCTTTTCCATTTTACTTTTTAATTCAATTCTTTTTGTCTTATATATACAAACCAGAGACCCAGTGCACAAATTTGTGCATGTGTGGGGGGGGGGTCCCTTGGCCTGGCCTGTAGGATGGGACAGAAACCAACTCTCTGACATCCCAAGAGGTCCTAGGTTGTGAGGGTGCAGGCCAGGCTGTGGGTCCACCGGTGCATGATCCCGGCTAGGGAGAGACACCGAGGTTGGCCAGCCAGGGAGGGGATGTGGGAGGGCTTCAGGTTGGGTCTGGCCTCTCAGTCCTGATTGGCCAGATCCCAGCAGCAAGCTAACCTACTGGTCGGAACCTCTGCCCCCTGGTGGTCAGTGCATGTCATAGCAAGCAGCTGACCAGCCATAGTATATTGTGCTTAGATTGGTTGAATGGCCAACTGGTCAACAAACAGCATATTAGGCTTTTATTATATAGGATATATATACACATACACACACACACACACACACACACACACACACACACACATATATATAAAATTCCCAATTGTCTGTTAAGATCCCAGAACAACAGTTACAACACTGTAACAACACTGTTGCTGGCTTACTCCAACCCATCAGTGTTTGGGGAGGACCTCAAAACATGTTCTTTTGATGGTCAATTAGTAGCATCTCCCTCATATGAGGAAAGCAACAAAAAATACCTATTTATTTAAGATTAACTACAGGACCGAAATGGGTTTACAGTGGTATTAATACCTTAAGCCACTGGGAAGATCTGGATTAGTTTTGAGTTCATTGCTAGCACCCAAGGACTCATGATCCAGTTACTCTGTTGTGAATAGATGTTCTGAGAGGATAGGGATATGAATACCACTATCATTTTTGATCCCTAACATAAGCATTGTGAACAAAAGACTGCATTAGAAGAGAATATTAACAAATATTTTAAGTTTTTCTTTATTTTGGAACTGCCTTTATGTACAGACATCATAAAAAAAAAAAAAAAAGCACATATGCTGCAGATTTTCCAAGGACTAGAAGTTGGAAATAAAAGTTAAGGGCAACCAGGAGAACTGAAAATGTCTCAGAGAAGCTCTGAGGATCACATTCCTTAAATGTCCTTGATCACTTCTTCAAGTTCTTCCTTTGTGAACATGTGGAAATTCTGGCCAGGCTGCACGGTGGCTAGCTGGAAAGAAAACAGTGAAGGGTTAATAAGCGGGGCTCGGCCAGCCTGCTGATGGCCAAGAGACGCTGTGCTGGGGATGCAGCTGGTGGCTAGGGCCTCAGGGATCTGCTGTCCCAGGGATATCCTATCCGACGGCAGCTTCTGAAAATAGTTTTCTGGCTCCAAAATAAATTCTCATTGACCAAATTTTCTATTTTGAGGTTAACCCACACATCTTAGTTAACCAAATGCCTGGTGTCATGGTCACTTCTTGAAATTACTTCAACAAGGATCACAAAAGTAGCAGCCACTTACATGGAGTCAGTATATTTTTCTGTTAAAGGTTCCTTTACACACATGCAAGCTGAGTTTGTGTATGTGACCTCAGATGACTTGGCCACTTTGTGCCTCAATTTTCATTGGTAAAATGGGGGTAATAATAGCACCTACTTCATGGAATAATTATGATGATTAAGTGTTAATAGTCTGCCAGTGTAGTTCAGTTGGTTGAGTGTTGCCATGCACTGTAAGGTTGTCATTTCAATTCCCAGGCAGGGCACATATCCAGGCTAGGGGTTTGGACCCCAGTCAGGGCACATATGGGGGGCAACTGATCAATGTTTTTTTCACATTGCTGTTTCTCTCTCTCTCTCCCTGCCCCTTCCCTCCCTCTCTCTAAAATCAGTAAAAACATTTTTTTTAAATCCATCGTTAAAAAAGTGTTAATATATGCAAAGTGCTTAAGTACCTAGAACATTATAATAAGCACCAAATAACTAATGGTTAATTATCATTGTTAGGTATTCTCTTTAAAATTGTCCATATGGCAACTTAATAAAAATGTTATTTTTTTTAAAGAGGACTGGCCATGAAAAGATTTTATTAACAACTAGAGGCCCGGTGCAGATTCATGCCCCGGGAGGGGGGGGGAGGGGGGGTTTCCTCGGCCTGGCCTGTAGGGATCAGGGCAAAACCGGCTCTCCAACATCCCAGAGAGTCCCGGATTGTGAAAAGAGGTTCTCCATTTAAGCACCCCAGAATTGGGCTCCCTCCTCTCTGGTTCCAGGTGCGTCACCCAAGAACACAGCTGCAAGTCACCACAGCTCAGCAGCTCCTGCATCGAGCATCTGCCCCTTGGAGGTCAATGTGCATCATATATATGAATATGACAGGAATTCAGATGTGACTTAAGGTATTAGTAATAATCAGCACTGACCACCAGGGGGCAGCTCCTGTCTTGATCAGGATAAGGCTAAAACCAGCTCTCTGGAATCCCCAAGGGCATTTCTAGATTGCAAGAAGGCACAGGCCAGGCTGAGGGACCCCACCAGTGCACAAACAAGGCCAGGAAGGGATGCGGGAGGCTGGCCAGTCGGGAAGGGACTACGGGAGGGCTCTAGGGCGTGTCCAGCCCTTATAGCTCAGTCCCTGATCAGTTGGACAGCAGCAAGCTAACCTACTGGTCAGAGCATCTGCCCTCTGGTGGTCAGTGCACATAATAGCGACTGGTCAACCAGTCAACTGTATGCCCCAGTGCATGTCATAGCGAGTGGTTGAATGGTCTTAAAATGTCATTAGCATATTACATTTTGATTGGTTGACCAGACAACCGGACACTTAGCATGTTAGGCTTTTATTATATAGGATCTTAAGGCCTTTGCACATGGCTGATCCCTCTTCCTAGAATACCCTTCTCATCCTTTCTCCAGGCATCACCTCTTTCAGGAGCTTGTCCAATGCCCCAGTGTTAAGTCATATGTTCTTGTGACAATACATTCTTACTGCTGTCACCCCAAGCTGTTATTATCTGTATATCCTCTACACTAGAGTACACAACTTGCATGGCCATTGGATTTTCTGTGTCTGTATCCCTGGTATCTATCAATGTACATGGCATACATATAAAGCTGAATGAATTCTACTTTTCAGAACCAACTCCACGTGTACCATGCCGTCCCTCTTCCAGAACTTTTCCATCACTATCTAACCTGTTTTTTTATTTAACATATTTCTACCCACTAGTTTCTTCTCAGTCCAGAAAGTATTTTCAAGTTCTTCCCCATCCTTAAAGAGACAGAAGTCCTTTTCTTTAATGCTACCCTCTGCTGTCAATATGTCTTGAGGAATCAACAGATCTTGTTTGGTCCATTTCATCAGCTCCCTTTCACTCTGTAACTCATCGACTTCTGGCTTTTATCATTACTGCTTTACTAAAGTTACTTATTCAAAAGATATCAGTAACTTTTTAAGACCTGAGCATACAAAACTGTACTTTTCTTTTCTTTTAGTATTTCATAGATTTTTTGCAGAGAGGAAGAGAGAGGGATAGAGAGTTAGAAACATCGGTGAGAGAGAAACATCGATCAGCTGCCTCTTGCACACCCCCTACTGGAAATGTGCCCGCAACCAAGGTACATGCCCTTGACCGGAATCGGACCCAGGACCTTTCAGTCCACAGGCCAACGCTCTATCCACTGAGCCAGACCAGTTAGGGCAAAACTGTACTTTTCTCGATCTATTCAACCTTCAGCAACAGGAGCTAAGATATGAACAAAAGACAATAAAACCGAAAATACCTCTATGTTAGTTGCATTCAGCTTCTCCTCCATTACTTGTTTGAGGATGATGAGTGAGGACTTGATGGCTTCTTTCAGAGTCATAGACTTGAAACAAAGAGGGCAGGAAGAGTAGCCATTAATTGTACATAATCCCTCCTTCCTTCAGAGCCCACCCATGCCTCCCTGAAGAAACGATTTAGCAAATATAACAAATCAAACATCAACAAGTACAGCGCCTTACAAGCTTCTCCAGAATTCAAGTTAGTGGTAAATCAGTAGAATACATTTACTCAGAGAAAAAGTCTTATTTTAAATCAGAACAAAGTCACCAACTTTCATCTTTGAAGAAGGGGAAAGGACTATGCTTCTCTAGTTTTCTTCTTTTAATTTAGAAGGAAGATAATATTGGTGATATCCTATAAATAATAATTCCTAAATGATCTAGAGCCTGATGGTTTAGAAAATCTGCTCTTTTTCATTACCTTTTGTACCTTATTTACTACAAATGTGAAACCAATACTATCCGGGGTTGATACGAGCAGGGATCCCAGTATGAACCAGCCTTGATTTAAAAAATAATAAAGGAGAGAAATGTTAGCAGAATAGACGTGGTACGTCCACAAGTGGGACTGCTTAGTTACCTTATGGTAAACTTCTTGCAAGGAGCTCTGGGCACCCTCTGAAGCAGAGCCGATTGCTCGAGCATCACACTGTACAAAGGTCCCGGATGGGTCCATATGAAACCTGCAAAATGCCCCAAAGGAAGAGGATTAAAATGCTTAAGAGTGGTGGCATTTTATGTAACAAACATGTCCTAAAAAATATAAATGCTTGGCCTGCAGTCAGAAAATTCCACCGAAATATGGAGGGACAGATCAAAAAGATGTTCTATGCCTAGAGAAACCAAATCTTTTCAAAAGTGTTTAAGAATACTAAGAGCCTCTTAAAAAGGGGGGCTTAGAAGAAGTACAGTGTATGTAAATTTGGCACTTGGATATGCCTATCTTAATATTTGAGGACAGGGATTGGGTCAAAATTCCAAAGCAAAGCTCCAAAGCCCGCCCTCCAACTACAGTAACAAAGAATTAGCAGTGGATCCAATAGGGGAGTTCTCCAGAGGGTCCCCAAATCTGTCTTTGTATAAACAGCACAGAAACACTGAACTTTATAGAGTTAAAAGCTCTTCACTTTTTATAACTCTACAATAATTTTCTCAGTTGATTTAAACTACCAATCTCCACCCCAAAGTAAAATAATTCTCCCAGAAAAGCAGCAGGAAAACTATGGCAAAATGGTTCTTACAGTTGAGGTCCTTTCTCATCAACTCCTCCAAATAACAGTGCTACTCCAAAGGGACGAGACTAGAACAACAACAAAAAAAAGGTATTAAGATAATTAATCCCCAAGAACAGCAAGAAAACTTGCCCCAGCTTCACACCCACCATGGCACCCGGATCTGCATCTTCCTCTCCAAACTGCAGAGCCAGATTGGACACAGCCTGGGTCACACTCTCCACCGTCATGGTCTCATTGTAGGTGAACCAATGGTTCTGGAAGAAGAGCAAAACATGGTCTACCTTCCAAACAAGCAGGGCAGTAGGGCAGCCCCACCAGCCCACTACACATGCCCTCCGCCCCTCCCCCGAACTACACTTGGAAACGGAAGCTTCAAGCTCCGGGGTGTTTTCCTTAGCACTAAACTCGAATGCTTGGGACAAGATGAGAGGAGGAGAAATAGCTCTGGAGAAGCTTTAACCAAAAGGATTCCAAGTAATGCTGGACTGGAGGACTGTTCCCTGAAAAAGTTAACCCCTCACAGCACCAACTTAGTTTTTTCACAAAGTGAACACTAACAGCTGAGGGCCACTTAGCCTATGTTATCGTTCTGTCGGTGTTTAGATTATTCTCACATAAGTACTGACAGCAAATTTGCAAATAAGTGCAAAAAATTTCCCCATCACGTATTTTTTTATTCCTAGTCTGCTCTCCAGGCAGCAGGTGCTCAGTTAAAAAATAAATCAATGTTCCTCACCAGCATTTGTCACCTGGTACCTCTCATTGCTCACCACAGGAGAGCTGCCATGTGCAAGCCCAGCAGCAAAGGCAGCTGGGAGAATGTCCTTTAGCTGTGCTTACGCCTGCTGTGGTGCTCCCACAGAAAGGCAATTAGGGAACAGAAGGCAGTGTGGTGCTTGCATTAGAGAAGGCACACCAAAAAGCAGCAAGAGACTGTCAGCACTCTGTACCAGGGCTTCCTTACAGCTGCGAGGGCTGGGTGACTAGTCTCCAAGCCACTGAAAGTTGTAACAAGGGATTCTACCCAAATCAATGCCCAGGAGCTATATCTTCTGTTAACACAGATACCTGCAATGCAGCCCACACAGCTATAGCAACGCTAAACAGGAACTCAAGCACCACGGTAAAAAGAAGAGATGATGCTAATTTTACCTGTGTCTCCACTCTGGCTTTATCAATTAAAGTCTTAGCATCAGCAATTAGCCCACTCATGGCACAACCTGTAATGTAAAAGCAACAGTGACCCAGCGGCCAATCCACATAGAGCTCATTCATCCACTCAGAAAAATCCCGAGATTCTGGAGTGGAACCATGGCGCCATTCAGCAACCCACAGCAATATACCCACGAGATCAGATGGGAAATTATCTGCTCTGCACTCCAAGTCTAATTGTATTACAAACAAATAAAAAGCCATCCACAATGGCACGGAAGTCCAGCTATTAAGGTAGAAGACAGAGAAGAACAGCTAATCACACACCAATTTCCACACATTACGTCTGTAAGCTTCCCCTCAGCACTCTTTGTAGACCATGATGCACTTTCAAACTAAGCAAACAACAACACTTCAACAAGAGAAATACGGACACAAATGGCCACCTTACAGTGAGCTTTGATGAAAGACCGTAGAATAAAACCAGAGCTCATTTCCCTGGCCAAACCCAAGCCAACTAGTATACTGGAGGGGAAGTTTGCCTGATGTTCCCAGATAACGAGCTTGTGGCTGTTACTTTCCATGCCATGACGCAAATCTCCAAAAGCCCATGCTTCACACCCATAAAGCCAATGACTCCCTTGATACATCTACTTGGATGTACCGCAGACTCCAATCAGACTCCATCTGCTTCCTTGGCTTCCACAACCAGTCAGATTTCAAATTCTTCCAATCTCTATGTGATTACCCCATCTGGCATTGGTCCTTACCTCTCCATTCTCTGGCCTCGGCCTTGGTTAAAGCCCTCATCTCTTTTTGGATTAAAAATAATTTCTTACCTGCTCGCCCTGCCTCGTCTCAGTCCCCTTCACTCTCTCTTCAACATTGTTACCAGAATGGTCTTTCTAAAACCCTACCGGGGTATTACCTCAGGGCTTACAGGCTTTCCCATTAAAGCAAAAGGACCAAGTGTAAGCTTTTTTGTATGGTAAGAAGGACTTCCGCCGTCGGATCCCAGACTCATCGCTAGCCAAGCCCATCCACCTCCCGGTCATATCAAACTGCTGTGCCAGGGCATTTTCCCTTCACACAAGGCTTTGCTCATTTCTATTCCCTCTAACTAGAATGCTCTGCTATACTGGGCGTTTGTTGACTTGGTAAAACTTCCTCATCTTGTAGAGTCAACTCAGCTCAGGCCTCACCTTTTCTGAAAGCCCCACCACTGGCCTCAACAAAGCTAATTATTTCCACCTCTGTCCCCCTATTGAGCACATAGACAGCCTTTCTTAATATCTAGGACATTTACTTATTTGGGTGTCAACGCTCAGGAGTAGACTGTATGCTTCCAGAACACAGGACCACGTCTCATTCCTCTCTGTATCCCTGGTGGCTAACACGATGGATGGCGCATAGGAGGCTCTCAATCTGCTGACTGAAATGACACTGGCCTGCCTACAAAAGACAGGTGCCCTGAGATGAAGCTATCACATGTTCTAATCTTAAAAAACTGAATCTCAGTTTTATGAGAGAGAATGTCAAGCTCCCAGAGTGATCATGCCATTTGGTTCTGATGCCTCCCAGCAATTAATTATTTTACCAATGTTTCATTAGATGACTAGATAGGTTAAGAAAATTTAGACAGCCAACTAAAATGGTATGCTATAAATAAGTAGAATTACTTCCTACAATGATGCCGAAGCTAGGGAAAGGGAATTATAACAGAAACCAAGAAAAAGGAGGAAAGTAGTGGGAGATAAGGAGTAAAGAAATAAATTGGAAAACAGAAGCCGAGGACTGATCTGGTCAAAGTCTATTATTCTTATACTCTCTGAAGCTTAGTCACTGAAGATCCTTAGCATTCCTCTTTTCTTAGTGAACACCCTAGCTTCCTACACCATCCTCTGCTTCACCAGAAAGAATCCTTGGCTCCTGGTGACCTCCTACCTGGGCTACTGTTGTGCATCAGTAAAGACCCAGCCATCATAGGGAGCTGGCCTAGGATTCAACCTTCACGTATTTCACGTATTTCACAATCACATCTGCAGTCTAAATGTGAGGGAGAAAGGAACTTCTGGGAGCAAGTGGGCGCTACAATTGCTTCCTACTCCTATATTATGCACATTGGCCTACTGCCTGGAAAGTGACGGCTAATAAGGGAATAAGACCTTCATCTAATGAACCTCCCTTGGAACATCAAAGAAGACTAACGAACCCAGGCCAGATCCTACAGAGAGCTTTCCCCTGCTCCTTACCTATGTGAGCATCAATCTCTACAATTTTCTCGATGCTGCTCGGCTCCATGAGTGGGGAGGTAATTCTCTTCTCCACGGCTAGGCACACCCCCTCTGATGTCTGGATCCCAATGGCTGTAGAACCAAGCTGGAGAGAAACACATTATGGTTAACATGTCCCGGTCAAAGAGCAGTCTCAATACTCACCAGGAATCTGTCTGTGTCTCTTCACAAGACAGACCTTCAATCAGCCTTAGCTGGTCCACATAAAAGGAGCCCCCTAAGTCAGTAATGTATTGCTCCTGTTGATGGCAAGAGCACGGATTTACAGAATTCTCGAGGGGAAGTTCAATAAGGTTTTGATAGTATCTGAAAAACAATCAACTTGAATGCCAATATTTTGGAGATGGGCAGATCCTAAAGTTCTATACATAGGGGGCAAGTAAGTAATAAAACTCTAGGGATTACCCTCCAACCAACTGAGCTGTGCCTTCACAAAGGTTAAATTACACCCAGTAAGGGCCACAGCACTATATCTATCCTAGCCCAACCTAGGACCAAGGAGATCAGGTGCCATCTCGTTATCGCTAACTAATCTAGAAATTACTAGCGGTGAGGAGCTAAAAGGAGAACCCCCACAACTGAGGCTTACTCAATTTTGCACATCTGGGCAGAACAGTTGTCTTAGCTGAAGCTCAAAATAAATGCCACAGCGTGGAATTCCGACAGTCTTTGTACATCACAGTAATGTGTGGTTTCAAAACAGGGCTAAGATAATCAGATACAGAAACAGGCACCTGAAGCTGGCCCATCGTTTTCTGTCCACTATCTATCACAATGCTTCCTCCTTCACTTGTACTTCTCTGACTCATCAGAACCCCCTTTTCCAGATTCTTAGACAACAGTTTCCGCCAACACACTGTAGGAGAGGTAGCTTGGAAGGAAACACACTAGCTCTCTTCACTCACGTGAGGAAATGTCTGTGGAAGAGGTTTAAACATTCTGTGTGGTTCAAGAGCAAAATTAGAACCAATTAAAGGAAATCTCAGGAAGTTAGACTTTTAATTCAATACAAGGATAAATTTCTAAAATACTACAAACTATTTTCAAACAGAATGATTTATATAGTGAGAAAATATTTTGTTGCTAGCCTGCACAAACAGAAGCTGTTTGCAGGGATACAGAGGTGACTGATGCACAAAGTGAGGGGCTGGACTAGTCCAGTGATTCTCAACCCTTGCTAGACATTAGAATCACTGGGGGAGTTCTTACAAATACTGACGCCTGGGCCTTATTGTGGACACCGCAATCAGAATTTAGATCATCCAGAGCCCAACAAATATAGGTTCCCCATGAGAACTTCAGCTTGTTTTCTAACTAATTTTTCGAATACTGGGTTTGAACTATTCGATTTTGTTAAACATCTCTTGGTCAGTCTGATATAAATTTACAGTCTTACCAATAACACAGGTGGTTAAACAATTTAAGAAATATCTCCCGGTGCCAACTCTGGACTTCTAGGTCCTCCTCTTTATAGATAAGATTCTCAACACACACATGCGCCTTCAGCCCATTGAGAAAAGGTTACTTACTTGATTATGAAGCAGTGACCTATTCAAAATGTTTTAAAATAGGTTTTAGGAATGGGATTGAAACTATTATTAAAATGATTAACAGGGAAATAAAGAAAATTTTCTAAAGAAATAGAGAAAACACATTTACTCTAATTGGTCTGCCAGCATGGGTTACATTGCCATGAAATTTCAAAAGCCATGCCATTTAATACTATACCTTTATAGCCTCAATAGCATATTCCACTTGAAATAATCTTCCTTCAGGAGAAAAAGTATTCACACCCCTATAGTTAAGGAAAAAAAGTATTAGAAATTTATCAGAATAAGCAAAGAGACGCTAAACCCAAATTCCTTGGCATCTAGTTCAAATGGCTACAAGATGTGCACACCATCATTATTCTCCTTTCCCACACGATCTGCAGTTGTTTTTCACTTTTTTATTTTTGGTACATTAACGGCTTTTCAAGGAATGAAGCCCATATAGCATGAGTGGGGAATGTCTGGCCTGTGGACTGTATAAGGCCTGCAGAGTTACTGGGTCTGGCCCTGCCAAGGCATAAGGGGTGAGTTAATTAACTGTTTGACCAAATATAGCAGGCTAATTTCTAAGTTGATCATTCTGAAAGGCCCATGAATGATGTTATAAATATCCAAATGGCCCTGGCAGAAAAAAGGTTCCTCACCCCTACTATATAGAGAACACTTCTGTCCACTCCCAGTCTTCAAACTGATCCAAGGAGAGCACAGATCTTCTGCCTCAATCCTGAATCAATCTGGAACTCCTTTAAAAAACTCAAGCCCCCAAACTATAAGGCAATTCCCAAGAAAACGAGCATTTATCCTTATTCTCTTCCCAATGCATACATTTGATGTTAATATCTTACTTCTTAGTAAAAGTCAGTCACAGGTTTTCTGTCTTTATTTGTATGAATTAGTATTGCTACCTTAAAAGCAGACTGAGTGAGATCTGTGTAGTTTCTGAACCTAGTTCAGTCACTCAATATGTATTTATACCAATTACATGCCAAATTGCTTTTCTCTAAAACACTTCCACACCTTTCCTTGCTCCAGTCTGCTGAAAATTCCTATGGAGAAGAGGCATCAATAATGGTCTTAGCTAGAAAAGCTTTCAGCACACAATGGGCACTTTAAAATTTTTAATGAATGAAAATAGTTATGATCTTTGGTTTATGGAGTCTGGACATGTGGTTTGATGTGGATAGGATAGGATAGGATAGGATAGGATAGTGTTTTCAAATTTATCAAAAACTCCTCCTTTAAAAGAAATCTATATACATTAAAGGCTAATATGCAAAGTATTCCCTTGGGAGTTCGACCAGGAGTTCAATCTCTTGCTATGATGTGCGCTGACCACCGGGGGGGGGGGGGGGGGGGGGGGGGGGGGGCGCGTCACAGAGCAAAGGAAGGCCTTGGCTGGCAGGTAGAAGGCCCCCATCAACCCTAATTGCAGACTAGGCCTAGGGACCCTACCCATGCACAAATTGCAATCCTCAAAATATAAAACAGATAATGTAGTTGAATTGAATAATATTTACTACATAACTTCTATATGCCAGGCACTGTTACAAACCTTTAAATGATTTAACTCACTTAATCATCAAAAACAATCCTATGGTGAGCAGGCTGCGCCAGGTCAAGGTGGATGCCCAATCACTCTGTAGGCAGGCAGAGACCAGTGGCAGCAGCAGGGAGCGGGGGAACTGAGTGAGGGGCCCAGCACCACAGGCAGGATGGTGGAACAGGTGAGGGGCCAAGGCGGGGTGCCAGGCAGGGCAACCTGGCTTCAGGGTTGCGGGACTGCAAGGTTGGGCGCATGAGTTGGGAGCCAATCTCTGCAGGCCACACCAAGAGACCCCACCCATGCACAAATTCGTGCACCAGGCCTTTAGAATCAACCATATGCCAAGAAATATCAATTTATATCAATTCCTCCTACACAGTAACTCAACACTCTCTTCCATTCTCAATGTCCTCATTACCTTTCACCCATTACAATAGTGTTCTAACTGGTACTGACTCACTCTTTCCCCTAATCCAGTCATTTAATCTCTATTAAACAATTATGACTGTGTAACTTCTTAAAACAAAAATTATGGCACAGTTATCTACAGAATAAGACCCAAACTCCTTAACTTCATATTAAAAACCATGCACTATCTAGTACCATCCTATTTTCCTCATATCTCCATTACCATACATGTATTACATACCAGACTGGAATTTCCCAAATATGCACTTTGCTTGCCCATTACCTCTTCTTTGTACATCCTATATTCTATACCTCAAAACTATTGTCATATTTATTAAAATCTTGCTTTTTCAAGATTTTTAAATACCAGCTCTTTTGTGAAGTTTTCCAATTCCCCAATACTGAATTCCCAGTGTTGATTCAAATTTCTCTAACGACATGAATACATTTCTGATTCATCCTGTAGTTACTTTTGTCCATATATAAAATGCTAATATGCAAAGTGTCCCTCGGGAGTTTGACCAGGAAGGGGGGTGGGGGGGGGGGTTGATTGTTTGCTATGACGTGCATTGATCACCAGGGGCAGCATGGAATGAAAGAAGGCCCCAGCCGGCAGCTATAAGCCCCCAATCTGCCCTGATCACCAGCCAGGCCTAAGGACCCTACCGGTACACGAATTTCATGCACCAGGCCTCTAGTAGTTCTTTAAAAGACAATCTTCCATATGGGGCACCGTTCACTGCTGCATGACCAGCAACTACAACAGTGCCTTATACACAGCAAACACCCAAGTACATTAGCTAAGTTTTAAATAAAACTGACTATACTTTTGCTCTTCTTGGGAAGATACAAAAATGAATAACATAAAGCAGCAATAAAGATGTTAAGTAAACCTTCAGTGCTCTGGAAGAGAAATGTTAACAGCGGGGATTTTACAGGACGCTGATTAACAGCGTCATTTTACAGGACAGTAGGAAAAGATGTCAGTTTTAAAAATTCTCATACATCTTCTGAGTCAGTAAAAGGATAATGTAGTTCTGGGTGATAAAACTTTTGACAGGGTCTATGAATAACTGATAAAGGCAGCTTCTCCCGCCTCCTTGGACAAAGAAAACATCTGCCTAGCCTTAAAGAAAGAAAAAGGCTGGAGGGTGAAGGGGAAGTTATGCTTAAACTTAACTGATCAAAACAGAAACTGAAAGTAAAAGTGTCTGCAGCATATGTGCAATGTAACATGACTTAACATTTCCCAAGCCCTGCAAGTTTTTTTTTTCTTTTAAATAACTACAACCACCTCGGTTTTGATTTAGAAACCAGCCTTCTACATGAACTTGCCTTAAACTCGTTAAAAAGTAAGAAAAGCCTAGGGCTGGTGGGATCAGCACGAGGAGGAAACTTTTGAGAACCACTCTCAACACCCGTCTCGATAAAATCAGACTCCAGACACTATCCGGGCACAGCCAGCACCTGCCTTCGAACTTTTGAGAAACTATACGTCCCCGGAATCGGAGGAAAGGCTGCTCTATGCCCACGACTAGGAAATCGAAAACGAGGCTTCCTGGAAGAAAAAGGGAGCTGAAACGAGCAGACCCAGGAAATACTCTCCGGCTGCTTTTTCTTCCGGGCAGCACGGTCACATTTCTTAAGTAGGCAGCGCGAAAGGATGGACTGGGAAGGAAGAGGGTGACCCCTGGCCTTCTTGGGGTTAAAGGTCGGAGTACCGCCCCTCAACCTCTTCCCGGAGCACAAAGCGGAGCTTCTCGCTTCCGCACCCTGTGAGGACCCAGCAGTGACTCAGCGGGCGGCAAGGGCGGCCGCCTGGGCATACGCCTCGCCCGGGGAATCACAGCGGGCAGCGGGGTGGGCAGATGCCCACGCCGGGCCCCACGCGGGTTCCCGGGGCGCCCCATGACACGGCAGAACCCAGGCCGAGGCTGGGCCCCTGGCCTGCCCACCCCTCATCCCAGCCCCGTTTCTCCCCGCTGTACAGACCTGTCGTACTCAGACCGGGTGAGGAACATGGCGAGGGCAGGCGAAGGCGGCAGCGGCTACGCGGGGACTTGGAGGGCCAACACGAGTTCACCGGCACCTCGCAGCCGCACACCGCCGCCGAACCGAGGCCCTGCTCCCGACTGCGCGTGCGCGCGCGACCCCTTCGGCCCGCCCCCCTGCGCCTGCCTCCTATTGGTTGTTGGTAGTTCCCGCCGAGCTGATTGGTCCTACGAGCTGTCCTCGCCAGGCTGTGGTTGGTCCGGGGAGGGCGGGACAAAGGTCGTTCTTCCGTTTTAAATCGCAGGTGGTTGCTAGGGGCGCGGAACCGCTGGCGTGCAGTGCGAGTTCTGCGTCTAGAGAAGGTGTGGGAGTTGGAGGTCTGAACCCCGAGTAGATGTTTCCCTCGCCGGCTCCCTGAGCACCTTAGCTCCATTTCCTCCAAGCTCTCAGCCGCCCTTGGATCCCCGCCCCTGCGGCTCTGGCGCGGTCCTCCGCCAGGTGCTGTGTGCAGGGCTCTGGCGCTGGACTTGGGCCGCGAAGCGGGGCGCTGCAGGGGGTCGGAGCGGCCCGGGCGAGCGAGTCCTCTCGCTTCAGCCTCGCTACCGTGGCTGTTGAGAAAAGGGGTGGGTTTTAGTCTGCCCGAGAGTCTTCAGGTGACGGCGCGGTCATGGTAACTTTACCAGCATTTCCTTATGTCCGCCTGCGCCCCATACCGCTCACACTCTTCCTCTAGTGCCGGTTTCAGACCTGCTGACTCAGCTCCGATCCGGAATCAAAGGCCTCACTGCCTTTTCTGTTATTCATGAAGAATTAGCCCACGGGGCCGAATGTATGCCCCTCGTTTCCCTTCCCTGGGGTAGGAGAGCAACTTCACAGGAAGACCGGAAATGAATTAATTTGTTCACAAAAGTAACCAGTTAAGAAGTCATTTCATGGGCAGCTGTGTATGTCTGAAAGGGAAATACCAGGGTCCAGTTCCCGTTAATAGGATACCTCTCAGGCCTGTGTCTCAAAGGTTCCTACTTAGCCCTAGATTAGGTTTGTAAATGACCAGGACATTTCAGTGATTGGGGAAATTTAGAAATAATGCCTTTTGGGTATTGACATCTGTTTTTGCCACCATTTATGTCCTGCCTTCATGAATTCAGTGAGAATTTCGTTTTCTGGTCCCTAACCAGAGGTTTGATGCCTTAATGAAAAAAAGAAAAAGAAAAAGAAAAAAAATGAGAAATTCCAATAGCACTTGTCAGAGATGTTAGATTTCTGAGGGTATCCTCTGGACTTGGAAGGGGAGCTGCAGGTAGTTGATTTTGGATAAGAAGAGATATCTTTTTCTCCCCCAAGAAAGTGGAACTTTATGACATAAAAATCCAGCATCTCGTTTAGTTTCTTGTCCATATTCAATTCAATAAATAATTGCTTCATTAAGAGTTGGACCAGCCCGGGCCATTCTGACAGTGATTAGAGCATCGCCCAAAGGTTCACAGGTTAGATTCCTGGTAAAGGGTACATACCTCTGTTGCAGATTTCCCATCCTCGGTAGGGAGGCAACCAATTGATGTCTCTCCTCTCTCCTCTCTCCCTTCCATTCTTTCTAGAAATCAATGGGGAAAATATCCTCCTGTGAAGATTAAAAATATAAATAAACTAGAGATCAGGTATAGTATTTTCTGGCATATAAGATGACCCCCTAATTTTACAGTTAAAACATAGGATTAGGCCTATATTCGCTGTATAAGACTACCCCCCACTTCAAAGAAAAGACTTACTTTGCCGTCAAGATCTGCAGGTAATTTTTGTGCAATTTTGGTCTTTTGCCCCCGATTTTTGGTTGACTTTACACAAAAATTCGTGCACGTGGTGGCAGGCCTAAGCCATCAGTCGGACCCCTAACGCTGCTAAGGATGCGGGAGAGGCTCCCTCCACCAGCGCTGCACTTGCAGTCATGGGACCGGCTAGTGGCTGAGCAGAGCTCCCCCTGTGGAGCGCACTGACCATCAGGTCAGCTCCTGCGTTGAGTGTCTGCCCCCTGGTGGTCAGTGTGAATCATAGCGACCTGTCATTCTGGTCTTTTAATTTGCATATCACCCTTTTATTATATAGGATAACATTTTTAGAAAGGAGAATAGATCTCATTTTTTTTAATAGAGTTTTAAATCCCTCTGAAAAAATAATATAGGAGCCATAGAAGACAGAAAGGAAAGGAATGTAGTAAAATATTAGCTAAATTCAGAAACTGAGAAAGGAATACAAACATCCTGGAGAACTAAACACATAGATCCTGGAGCAAAATAAATTGTGGCAGAATAGCCAGGGTGGACTGGAGACACTACCCAAATATAGAAACCAGTAAGGCCTGCTGGCATGGCTCAGGTGTTGTGTTTTGACCCATGAGCCAGGAGATCACGGTTAGATTCCCAGTCAAGGCACCTGCCTGGGTTTCTGCTCAATCCTCAGTAGAGTGCCTGGAGGAGGCAGCAGATCAATGATTCTCTTTCATCACTGATGTTTCTTTCTCTCTCCCCCTCGCTTCCTCTCTGAAATCAATAAAATATATTTTTAAAGTAATTTTGAAAACCTCCTAGTATCTCTTTGAAAGAAATAAAATGAAAGGTGAATTGTTTTTAAAAAGTAAAGTACACCATCCAGAACTGAAATATCATTGCTGACATGTACACATAAGGAACTGTTTGGCATTGAAATTGGTTCTCAAAAGAACTGGTGGCCCAGAAAGAAGCTCACTACAGACCATTCATATGCCTTTCAGCATAACGATTATTGCTTGTTTCATTTTTTATTCTTATAAGTATATTTCCAGTAGGACATGATCTCACTCATCTAGGGGAAATTGTGAACAACATAGATGGATGAACAAGAACAGACCCAGAGACAAGGAGCCATGGGTCACCGACTGTTGGACCTCAAAGGGAGGGTGGGGATAAAAGGAAGAGGTCAACCAAAGGACTTATGTGCACACATATGAGCCTAAGCAGTGGTCAAGGACAATAGGGAGGTGGGGGCATGAGTGAGGGATTGGAATGGGGGGTTGAGGACAAAAATGTGATACCTTAATCAATAAATTAATTATAATAAAAAATAAAAAGTAAAGTAATTGGTGATAAGGAAAATATGGTATGCACATACAAGGGAAAATGTTATGTAGTTCAGTTTTCTATACTTGCTCAGCCTTAAAAAGGAATGAATTTCTGATACATGCTACAACTTGAATGAAGCTTGAAGACATTATGCTAAGTCAAAGAAGCCAGACACAAAAGACAACTATTATATGGTTGTATTTATAGGAATTACCTAAACTAGTCAGATTTATAGAGACAGAAAGTGGAATGGTGGTTACCTGGGCTAAGGGAAGAAGGGGTGGGGGATTAATGGGTACAAATCTCAGTATGGGGATGATGACAAAGTTCTGGAGATGGCATGTGGTGGTGGTTGCACAACAACGTTAATGTACTTAATGCTACTGACCTGTACACTAAGTATGATTAATATGGTAAATTTTATGTTATGCACATTTTATGACAATAAAAAGAAATATTTTTTAAAGCAAAGTGATTAACATGTGAGTTCTTTGAGGACCAGTGCTGTGTCTTATCCATCCTAACAGTTGATATATAGTAGATGCTTTAAGAATATTCATTGAGTAAATAAACAAGTATTTATTGATTGCTATACACATACGAGCCATAGAGATTAATATAAGTGTCTTTAGAAAATTCAATATTCCTAATTGAAGACTTTCTTGAAATTTACTTTAAAACTAATATTTTTTCATTTTTCTTTTATCTCCTTTGTAGGTTTGTTTTTTTATCTTTGTAACAAAGAATCTTCTTGTTTACAATCTCTTTAGATGAAATACTGAGAGGTAAGAAGGACTATTTCTGCCCTGGCCAGATTGGCTCAGTGGATAGAGCATTGGCCTGCAGACTGAAGGGAATCAGGTTCGATTCCAGCCAAGGGCACATGCCCGGATTGTGGGCTCAAACCCCATGGGGGGCATACAGGAGTAGCCCATCAATGATTCTCATCATTGATGTTTCTATCTCTCTATCCCTCTCCTTTTCTCTCTGAAATCAATAAAGACATATATATATTTTTTTTAAAAAAAAGACTGTTTCCTCTTGAAAAAAAATGTGCAAAAAAGGTAACAAGTCATCTGAGAGCTCTTATTCTGTGGGTGAATACAGAACTTTCATTACTGTCCAAACATCTGCATTTTTCTGCTTGTTACATTCTGTATGCACAGTGTCGTGGACACCTGGAATGAATGCTATTTCATATTGTGTGGTGTGGGCATTTACACTTAGTCCTCATGATGACCTTGTGCAAGTAAGTAGGACAGAAATGATTATCCCTATTCCGTGGAAAAGAAACCTAAGATTGTGGAACAATTTATTAAAAACTGGATTGGGCCTGGCTGGTGGTTGAGTGTCGACCTATGAACCAGGAGATCATGGTTTGATTCCTGCTCAAGGGCACATGCCAGGGTTTCTAGCTCAATCCCCAGTAGGGAGCATGTAGGAGGCAGTCAATCAATGATTCTCATCACTGATGCTCCTCTCTCTCTCTCTCTCTCTCTCTCTCTCTCTCTCTCATCAATAAAAATAAAAAATAAAAAAACTGCATGGGGGACTCAGCTGTTCCTTATCTAGCCTAGATTTGCCTGGCAATCTGGGGAAGTTTCCTTCAAGTCCAGGCAACTTACTCCCGGCCACTCCCTCCTAACCCAGCCCTGAGAAGGCACTCACTCGGTGGGGCAGGCATTGATGAGTAGCTAAATGTTTGTTCGAAAAGCAGTCATCCTGCGGACCAGAGGGAACCTCGAGAATGACTGTGAGGAGGTGGGTCCTGGGCGCTGGCACCACCCGCCGGCTGGCTCAGTGACCTTGGACAGGTCACTTACCCTTTCACTTCTTCCCTTTACGATCCAGCAGAAGCCCCCGGATCCTTTCCGAAAGTCAGGGACCGATTTAAGGCAGGACATGATGCAAGAACGCCAACTTTTCAGCACCAATGACATTCTTTGAGCCCCCTGGTCCTCAGACTTGGTTTTCACTCTCATGCAAAACGAAATGGGTATTTTAAAGGAGATTGAGTTTATAGTTTTAAAAGATTCATCACTTTTAAATCACGGCATACGAATGCATTTTGTTGCTTAAAAAGAAAATTTAAAGCAACGTCTAACTAGACAGAATGAAAAAAAAAAAATGAGCCATTTGTATCCGATTGCCCTTGTCGTCTGCCCTGGCTCTCCAAGATTTTGGAAGCGAGCGATTTGCTAAGCGCAAGGCTTAGTAGAACCTTAGGTTTAGATTGCAGCTTCGGTAATGCCTTCTCCAAGTCCCTGAGGTTCTGGGTACGGTGATGTAGAAAAAGAAAAAAAGGAGAGAAAAAAAGGCTCCAAATCCAGGGAAACAGAAAGATGAGCGAGGAGAGGAGTCTGTGCGCCCCAGAGCTCCAACCAGTTTCCAACTTGGGCGGTGCCTCCCTCGCGTCCGGCGCTGAGCTTCTGCCAAAGACCTAGCGCCCCTTTCGGCCAAACCGCCCGCAGGAGCCACAGGTCCCTTTAAGGCGCCCTGCGGGCTGCAAAAGGGGCGCGGGGGGCGGGAGGAGGGTGCCCCAGCGCGCCACGTGACTGGGCGGCCGAGTGCGCTGGCGAGTTTGACAGGAGTTTGCACCGGCCTCGGGGGCTTTCTGCAGCCGGAGGGGCAGCGCGGCGGCCGCGGCCCCGGCGAGCGCCCAGCGACCCACCCCGCCAGCCTGGACCCCGGGCCGCCGCGGGCTGCGCGCGCCCCGCCACCGCCCGCGCCCCCCGCCCGCCCGCGGACCCCGCAGCCCCCGGGCCAGCGAGCCGAGCCCCCGCGCAGCGCCCGGGCCCCGCGGCGCCAGCATGTCCTCCACGGAGACCGCGGCGGCGAGCGGCCCGGCGGGCAAGTCGCGGCGCCAGCAGGTAACTCCGCGCGCCCCTGGGGCTCACACCGCCCCCCTCCACCTGTGTGTTGGGACCCTTCTCTGCCCCTTCTCCTGGGCGTGGGTAGGAGAAGGGGGGGGCAGCGCTTTCCCGGGGTCCCCCATGCCCTGAGCCCGGGACCTCCCTCCCTGTCTTGGCAGGTGGACCAGCTGATCGCGGGGCTGCGCTGGCGGCGGCTGGAGGAGCCGCTGGGCTTCATCAAAGTTCTCCAGTGGGTGAGTGGCCGCCCAAGCCGCGGGCTATTTCGGGCGCCCGGGGCCGTGACGCTGACCCGAAGCAATGTGGCCCGAGCGGGAGCGGCGGGGGCCGCGGGGAGGTCCAGTGGCCAGCAGCCCTCGGACGGGAGGGGGCAGCGACAGGTGGGCGGGGGAGGGGCGGGCTGGGGCTGGCTGGGCAGCGAGGCATGCGGAGCCTGGGATTCTGTCCTTCTATGTGCAAGGAGCCTGTGCCCAGGGCGCTCACATTTCATCGGGGCAAGAGGACCCAAGTGTAACCTTTCCAGAACTCTGATCCTGCACATACCACTCCTCCGTGGCAGGAGCGGGGGAGGGCAAGGGGGATGAGAGGAGGAATGCCAGAGGAGGGAGGGAAGGCAGAGGATGGAAACCAACCGCACCCAAACCCACCCGGCACCTGGCTGGGCCTGCAGGTGCACTCAGGGGACAGGGTCCCGGCTAGCCGGTGCCCTGTTGAGATCACAATCTGGGTTCCTGTAACCGAGTGAGGGAGTGGATGAATGAATGAATGAATGAATGGAGTTTATGACTCCAGGACTAAATAAAAGAAAAAATAAGATAGAATAAAAACCTCAGTGTGGCTAAAACGTGGCTTGTAGAATAATATAATCCATTACGCTGGGAAGCTGGGCCCTGCTTTCCAGATCTGGACCTGCCTTTTCAGCCAAATGACCTTGACTTCAGTTTCCAACATTCATCCGATGCTGATCCCAACAGCCCTAGAGTCCCCTTCTGCTCTCAGTGGGTCCGCGTGCTGGAATGGTGCCCTTCCTTAGCCCAACCCTGTGACCTTGAAGAGTTCACCTGCCCTCAGTTTCCCCCATAACGTTCCAGGGCAAATACAATCGCCCTGCTTCCCTGGTCCTTGGAGGCACCGCTGTGCTCTCTGTCCTTCCCGGCGCCCAAGGCCTGCTGGGTCTAAGTAAGGAATGCGGACAGGTGCAGGCACTCTCTCCAATCATGGAGGCTTGCTGGGAGCATTTGGTGTTCTGTCACAGGAGAGATTTTAGCTGGACGATCCACACACCACATGGCGTGTGAGACACGTGTCAATGTGCTTTCAGCACAGAAGTCCGCTAGGGAGCGCGTTGCCATTAACCCGGGGGAGGACTGAGTTCTAAGGGGCTTTTAACTCACGGAAGACAGGAGATAGCACCGTGTCACCGATTCCTACGCCACCATTTGGACGAGAAGCATCCGATCTGGAAGTCAGGGGCACTGGTGCATCCAGGGTTATCGGTGGATATCTGAGACCCTGACTGGGGCACCGGGCCAGCCTAGGGAGCTTCCAAGTGCAAACTCTGGGCCCCGGTAGGGACTTTCCACTCTGCCTGCTGCCTCAGGAGCAACTGGACAGACTGCTGACTGAGCGCCTTCACCTCCTCCCTTCCTGTTCTGACGACCACACAAGCATGCTATCAGAGCTCTGGGTGACTGCCATCCAGAGTGAGGGGCCATCCAGCCTCGGTAATCTCTGTGATCTGGAGGAGCACAGCCTGGCACGGAAGAGCACCATTTTATCACCGAACTAGACTCACGGGTCTAAGGGGATGTGAGAGAGATTGTCAACACACGGGGGACACAGTGAGGTCACCAGACAATGAAAGCATCTTCCAAGGGGGGTTTCTGCAAAGCGCCCTTCAACTTTCTCTCCTTGCCCCCAGCCTTTCCCCACCCCTTGCCCCCAACACCCGCAACATTCCCATAAAGGCTGCACTGATCCCTAAGAGTTGACCCACCGCGATGACCCTTTGATGACCCCCCAGTCTCTCAGAGAGGGGGATACACCTTTCTCCCGTCCTGCTAGCTCCAGGGACCCAAGGCCGGACTTGGAACTCGGCCTTAAGCAGCGTCTTAAGGAGACTTGACTTGCTTTTACTGCCATCCTCAGAGCATGCGTTTCGTTGCCTTGAGCCTCTGTGGATGAGCCAACGTAAAAGCACTGAGGAGCCAGCACCAGAAATGACAGGTGACAATGTCATTTGGGGGTTTTCACTCAGTTCTTGCTTGGAGGGATCAAATGCCCCTGACTAGAGGGAGGGGGGGAGGAGAGACAAACGACTGCCACAAATCTTGATAATTGAAAACTTGTGTTGTCATTACTATCAAAAGCAAAGGTTTTACCGTCGTCATCCTGGTGAGAAGAAGTAATACTATTTTTTTTTTATTAGTGTGTCTTGAAAATTCAAAAATTAACTGATCTCACCTCAATTCCAATTCTGGTTCCCTAAGTCTATACTAAAATAATGAAATAATATGGGCACAGACCAATTGTTGGAGAACTAGTTTTCTTTGTTTGTTTGGCTTTTTTCTTAAAGAAAAGGGCAAAAATAAAATAAGATAAGGCAGACCTTGATGTTAGATGGGCTTTGCTTTAAATCCAGTCTCCTCTGCTTTCTCGCTGTGGGACGTGGGTGAGTGGTAAAACCTTAGGGGCCTTGGTTTCCGGTCTGTCGAGGAGGGCGAGGTCTCCTGAGGGCTGGCAGGGAGGGCTGCAGGAGGCAGTAAAGCATCGAGGTCTAAGGGGTGTTCCCTTCCCTCCTCTTCCTGACCTCCCCTGTCCCCTAACTTCCCCCCTGAAGCACACTGTCAGCTAGCCCTGACCTTTGGGGAGACTATTCAAACGTCACTGCCGAATCCTCGCTTTGTGGAGAAGGTACAAAAGGATTTCCTGGATCACTGAGTCACGTTGCCGTAAGAAGCCACGTTATTGTCAGCTGGGTGTGCCCGGGTCTGTACTTCACCTTTGAGATGCCAAAGGCACTTACTTGGCTCTGGGGTCTCTGACTTCAGTGAGTGCGGGGAATGTGAGAGCCACCCGCCTGAGTCTGTGCCGCCGAGGAGATGATGGTGGGAGAAGGGTTTGGGGGAGGAGTAATGTCCGTGTTCTCAGGACGGGCCAGGGAGCATGCCCACAAGCAGGTGAGCACCAAAGGGGAGCCTCATCCTTAAACTGGCAGGTCCCTCCGCATCTCCCCAAAGGAGAGGCAGTGGCCAGAGGAGGGGGAGTGGTGGGCAGTGTACGGCTGGCACCAGAACTCCAGAGACCCGCCCCCCACCCCTTGTCTCAGGAACGCCATCTCTCTTTGCTTCCTGGTCCTTATGACCCATCGGCTCAACGCAGAGCCTCGTTTTAGGTCCTTCCCCACCATCCCCGTGGCTTAGGCACCGGGCACAGTTAGGGCAGAACGCTGCACAGGGGGAGGGGCATCTCTCTCTGCTCCCTGCCGTCCTCCCTGCGCGCATAGCCCAGCCCGCTTTCCCCAGCCTCAGTCACTGCGATGCTGGGGTGTGTCTGTGTGTCTGTGTGACACTCCCCTTTCTGGTGTGAACTCCTGCGAGCAGGCAGAGTCTCATTCACCTTTAAGTCTCCGGCATCTGGCCCCAGGCAGATGCTCCATGATTACTTGCCGATAAATGGATGAAATCAGTAGGAAGAGCACTGGACAGGGAAGCAGGACATGTGAGTTCTGAGCCCGGCTTTTGCGTCGGCTAAATGTGACATTGGACGAGTCACTTCATCTCCCGGCACTTGAGCTTCCACCTCCGTGAAATGAGACCGATAACCTCCGAGATCCTTTTTGCTCTGCTGCTCTGCAAACCTGTGCGATTCTTCTGCAGGGTCTCCCTCCCTTTGCAGCAAACTGTCCATCAGCTGGCACCACGGACTGCGAGGGGCAGACTTAATCACACGTTCTGGTTAACAAAGGGGTATAGAAGGTGTTTAGATTCCCGACTGTCAGAGAATCTGCAGAGAAGAGAATTCAGCTAAGGTGAAAGGTATTGTGGGCATATTTCGCTCAGCAAAGAATCAATCGTATGTCAGTTTTCGGGACCGTCAGGACCTCAAGGTTGTCACCTCGACTCAGCAGACCTTTTGATGACAATAGAAGCATTCGACAACATGCCGTCCAGTGTGGCACCTGCGAGTCTTAAGTGGCTCCTGCGAACTTGAGATGTGGCCAATACCACTGAACAGCTGTTTTAAATTTTATTTCATTTTCATTGAAACAGGCATACTGGGCTAGCAGCTGCTGTTTGCTCACTTCCTGAGTGTTAGTGCCCAGAGCAATTCCTGGTAGATAGTAGATGCTCAATAAACGTCACCTCTCTGACGATGGAGGGCCCGCCAAGGGAATGCTGGTGAAGAGGAGGTTTCATACCTGCCCATTCCACTGCCCACGTTCGGAAGACCGGACCCATCTTCCCAGGGAACCCACAGGGGCCCTTTGCGGACGGAACAGCCAGTGGGCAAAAACACATCCGTCTGTGCTTGCTTTCTCGAACATGATGCCCTAAGGTGTCCAGCTGGACATCAGAAGCCAAGAGGCATAAAGAGACTGCTCAGAGGACTCGGGGAGCCACAGAGCTGACAGAAGGTTGGAGAATGCCTCCGAGACAAGGTCTGTGGGACACCATGCGGGACTTGGAGGAGGTGACGGGGGATGACACAGAGGCAGAAAGATGGCACCGAGCTCTGCAGCCGCCCGAAGTTCCATCCGGAGGAGGCTGCTCAGCATCGGGGGGGAGGGGCTGTGCTGCCTCCTGCCCTGGTGGTGGTGTTGTTTCTGAAGTGGAGACAGGTCTTGTTTGTCTGAACTAAACCTCCTAGAAAGAGAGATGCCCACCATGACATTTAAAAGGGGGCTCCATGGCTCCATTTGGAGGGACTGGGCCAGGCCAGGCGGGGCAGAGCGAGGCCCTGGCACCAGTCACTGCCCTGGGGCTGGGCGCAGCTGCTGATGACAGCCTTCCCCTCAGCAAGGGAGAGGACCGCAGAGTGGGACAGGCCTCCAGCCGACCTCCTCCAAGCCCCTCCCTTCGCAGGTGAGGACCCTGAGGCTCGGAGAGCGGAGCGAGGCCACCAGCTAATGTGTGACGGGGCCGGGGTTCGAGTCCCCGAGTCCAGGCTTCTTCACCGCCATTCCGTCGGGGACTTAGCCAGACAGTATGCACATCACTGTTTCCAACGCAGATTAGCTGTGTTCTAGGTGCTTCACGTCCCCGGCGAGTCAGAGAGAAACTTGCAGAACACGGACAATCAGCAGAATGAGCTCCCTGCGTAATGAGAACAAGCCAAGGACACGGGGCTGAGCCGAGGATGTGAGAGGTTGAGGCTCCAATTCCTCACCTTTTCTAATCGAAGTTTGTTTCTCCAGAAGGAGATTCTAAAACCACGGCTCGCCCTGGCTGGTTTGGCTCAGTGGGTAGAGTGTTGGCCTGCAGACTGAAGGGTCCCAGGTTCGATTCTGGCCGAGGGCACATGCCTGGGTTGTGGGCTCAATCCCCAGTGGGGGACATCCAGGAGGCAGCTGATCAATGATTCTCTCTAGTCATTGATGTTGCTCTCTCTCTCCCTCTCCCTTCCTTCCTCTCTGAAATCAATAAAGACATATATATATTTTTTAAAAAATAAAGAATAAATTAAAAATAATAAAACCACGGCCCTGGCCGGGTAGCTCAGTTGGTTAGGGTGTCATCCCGATAGGTCAAGGTTGTGTTCAATTCCCGGTCAGGGCCTGTACAAGAAGCAACCGATGAATGGATAAGTAAGTGGCACAACAAATAGGTGTCTCTCTCTCTCCCTCTCTCTCTCTCTCTCTCTCTTCTCAAATCAAGAAATTTAAAAACGGGGAAAAAAAAATCATGGGATGAGGTCATTTCATTTCACTTAAGACTCGGAGGCTCAGTGCAGTGAGAAGAAAACAGTTCACGTTGCCTGAAACACCTCCGGTTCTTAACCCTGAGAAATGGCAGCACCCACCACTTACCACGGGAGACACCTCCACCGGGGAGGAGGCTGGGAGGGCAAGTGGAAGCTGCTTTTCTCGGGGCTGGATGGAGCCAGCTGGGCTGCGGGCCATGCACGGGGCGTGTGTATGTGTGTGTGTGTGTGTGTGTGTGTGTGTACAGCAGCACCGCCCTACCCTCCTGGCCCCTGGGGAAGGCCACGGCGGGGCTGTCCCCTTCAGCTTCACCTCCACTGAGGCAGGAAGTTAGCTTTGAGGTAAAGATGCAGCGATGGCTTCAAAGAAGAAATGGAAGGAACTCTGAGCGGGCCCCATCATGGTTAGAGCAGGGGAATCTAGTTCCAGGTGCCTCTCCTGGAGGAAAGTCAAGGCCAGCTTTGAGCCACAAGTTTCCAAAAGCCTAACTCGCTCTGTGCTCGCCATCATCGTAAGAAGGCTACAGGTGGTCGCCCCCCCCCCCATGGCACAGCCAATGGGGAGATGTGGGAACCCTCGCTTCTTCTCTCTTCCCTCCCGGACGCCACTTGCAGGCAGAGTATGCATTTGGCTGTTGGGCCTGGCACCCTGTTCTGTGCACACCAAGACCAACGGAAGACCTGGTCTCCCCAGGAGGGATTTCATTAAAGGGAACCCCCTGACACACACACACACACACACACACACACACACACACACACACACACCATATCTGCGCCTCTTGGACAGAGGTGGTTTGGGAGGGCTGGACCTTGGCCGGCGGAGGCCTCGGACTCAAAGGCTCCCTCTCCCTCAGCTTTTTGCTATTTTCGCCTTCGGGTGCTGCGGCTCCTACAGCGGGGAGACAGGAGCCATGGTCCGCTGCAACAACGACGCCAAGGACGTGAGCGCCATCATCATCTTGTTCGGCTATCCCTTCAGGTGAGCAGCGCGGGGGGCCGCACCCCCGTCCCTGATCAGCTGGGCCTCTTCCCCTCCCATCCCGTGGGGTGTCACTCCAGACCGGGGTCCTTCCTGCCCTTTAGGGATTCCAGACCCACCGACCAGAGGCAAACGCCAGGGGGGTCAGCCAGACCAGGGTTGTAACCCCATCCCCACCCACAGATAACCATTGGGTGATACGACAGCCACCGCAAGGACCCCCTCGGCCTGGGGTGGAGGTGACAGGAGCCAGGGCGCGTCTCCCCGCCCTCGGAGCCTCCTCCCAGCTGGAAGGGAAGGGAGCGTGTTGGCACTTAGACCCCGAAGAGCGGGTGTGGATGCTTCCGAGGAGCCCCGGGGCCCGGGAGGGAGGAGGGATGGTCTTCCTGAGGGAGGGGAGCCAGGTGTCCGGAGGACAGTGGGGCCAGGGCCACCTTCCCGGGCGTTTCTAGCAGCAGCAGCCGCTGCATTAGGTGAACGGCCTCCTGCCCGTACTGGGATGTGCGTTTTCCGCTTTGTCTGTCTCGCTGGGGCCCACAGGAGGCCTGGGCGTGGGGGAGTTGGGCGTCAGGTGCCTCCGTGGCCTCTGCCTTCCCCAGGGCAGCGAGAAGCTGAACGGGGCCTGGCTCCCAGAAGCAGATGGACCATATATACCGGGGCCGAGGCCTAAAGGGGCCTGGAGACCCTGGAGGCGCAGTCACCCACCTGGGCCGCGTGTCAGAGTGTGACTGTGGCTGAGCTGGGGGTGGGGGGCGGCGGGGGCGGCAGGCAAGGTTGGATGGTATCCCTCCCGCCACAGCCGTTCTTGGCTCCGGAGGAGTGGAGGGTGAGGCGAGCACAGGCGCCCCCGGGCGGGATGGCCGGCTCAGGAGCTCCCCGCTTCCCCCGCTGCAGGTTGAACCAAGCCCAGTACGAGATGCCGCTCTGTGACCCCGACTCCGCCTCCAAGACCATGAGCCTGCTGGGGGACTTCTCCGCCCCCGCCGAGTTCTTCGTGACGCTGGGCATCTTCTCCTTCTTCTACGCCATGGCCGCGCTCGTCCTCTACCTGCGCTTCCACGGCCTCTACGCCCAGGACAGGCGCTTCCCGCTGGCGGTGAGTGGCCGGCCGGGGCGGGGTGAGGGGGTGGGGGCTGGCGTGGAGGCTGCGGGGGAGCTGCTGGCTCCCTGGGACCCTGGCACCTGCCAGCTGTTGGCTGTTGGCTCCTTTAGGTACGGAGGCTCCTGCCAGCCTCCCATCCTCGCCTGGTCTCCTCCCCGGAGGCTCAACGGCATCAGGGAGCGGCTCTGGCCCGGCCGGCCTGGCTCAGTGGTTGAGTGGTGACCTATGAACCGGGAGGTCACAGTTCGATTCCTGGTCAGGGCACACGATTCCTGGGCTGTGGGCTCTGTCCTTGGTATGGGGTGTGCGGAAGGCCTCCAATCAATGATTGTCTCTCATCATTGATGTTTCTATCTCTCTCTCCCTTTCCCTTCAATCAATAAAAAAAATATATAAATAAAATACATTTAAAAAAGGATGAGCACTTTAAAATAAAGCGTCTGGTATATAATTAGCTAAGTGTTAGCTAGTATTAATATTCTCCCCCTTCGCTTTTTCTCCAGCCCAGGCGTGCAGGCGTAGGGGCGCCCCCTCTGCCGCCAGCCGCAGCTGAGCAGAGGTTGATGGATGGAACAGTTAGGCCAGTGGTCGGCAAACTCACTAGTCCACAGAGCCAAATATCAGCAGTACGACGACTGACATTTCTTTGGAGAGCCACATTTTTTAAACTTAAACTTCTTCTAAAGCCACTTCTTCAAAGTAGACTCGCCCAGGCCGTGGCATTTTGTGGAAGAGCCACACTCAAGGGGCCAGAGCTGCACGTGGCTCGCGAGCCGCAGTTTGCCGGCCACGGAGCTAGGCTGTCCAATCGCTCATTGTACTCCAGAAGCTAATGTGATGTTGTATGCCAACCGTGACTGAAAATAAGTTTAAAAAGGGAAGAATGTTTTTGAAAAAAAATGTTAAGGAAATGCAGGGAAGGGAGAAGGGGGTGTTTCGGGGTGACACTGACCAGCGGATGCCTCGATACACTGTCCCCTGAGCTCGGTGTGAGGGCACGGGCAGTGGTCCCGGTAGCCAGATTCCTTCCGTTGGTGACAGTGAAAGAGTTCCGAGAGCACCCGGGCTCCCTGAGGCTCGGGGCAGATGGAGGGGAGCTGGCCCGGGACCCCAGGATCCCAGTGCCTTAGAGCAAGAGGATGGAAAGTGGGAGCCCCGGGGTCTGACTGCGTGTCCTTCCCTCTGCCCCTCCAGGACTTCTGTGTGACCGTCTCCTTCACCTTCTTCTGGCTGGTGGCCGCCGCCGCCTGGGGCAAGGGCCTGACGGACGTGAAGGGGGCCACGCTGCCCTCCAGCCTGACCGAGGCCATGACCGTGTGCCACGGGGAGGACGCCGTGTGCAGTGAGGGGGCCACGCCCTCCATGGGGCTGGCCAACCTCTCCGTGGTGAGACCTGCGCCCCCGGAGGGCTGGAGGAGGCGGGACTCTCCCTCTGCCTGGGGCTGCCCTAAGAGCACATTCTGAGGACAGAGGGTGTTCTCCGGCTGGCGCCCCCTACCCCCAGAGGCAGTGCCCCTGCACCTAACCTGGCTGCTGGCTCCGAGCTGACTGTGGGAAGACATCCCGGGGTGGGGAGGACCGAGAGCCCTCAGCCTCCTGTCCCTTCCCCCTGTGGCTGCTGCCTTCCCATTCCCCGCCCTCACCCCACCTGTGAGTGTGAGTGTGAGTATGTGTGAGTGTGTGTGTGTGTGTGTGTGTGTGTGTATGTGTGTGTATGTTAGTGTGTGTGTGAGTGTGTGTGAGTGTGTGTGTGTATATGTGTGTGTGTATGTGTGTGTGAGTGTGTGTGAAGGGAAGCCCAGACCCAGCGTGAGCGACTCAGACCTCCAGGCTGGAAAAGGGCTTTGGGCACTGGGGGTCCAGCTGGCATGCATATTTTGGGCCATCCCAGCTTTTATAATGTGGACAAATTTTCACATCAGCTGGTAAACAGCTGACGCCTCAAGCTTTTCCAATGTCCCCTGCCATCCCAGCCACCTCAGCCCTGCCCTGACAATGGCCTGAACCTCCCGGCGGGAGGCCCAGCGAGGTGAGGGCAGGGTTTAACGTCTGGCATGACAGGGAGTCTTCTAGACGTTGCTGGAACCCCGTGGATAGGCTTCACCCCGCCCTGACACTTTATTTTAAAAACCCTCCTGCACACAGCAGACTGAGAGACGTTTACAATGAACGCCCACGCACCCATCACCTCGCCTGCACCAGGAACGTTTTACTAGACTTGCTCTCTCACGTCTCTGCCCGCCTCTCTCCATCGATCAATCCGTCTTACTCGTAATGCATTTCAGAGCTAATTGCAGGCGTCAGTACACTTCCCCCTAAACGCTTCCTGCTGGCAGGTTTTTACGTATTGTGAGTAAGTGTTGGAATAGAGCCCTGGCTGGGTCCCTGGCCCAGCCTCCCGGCCTCGGCAAGGAGCACCTTGGACAGCTCTGGCCACACCCGCCCCACGGAAGGCTCTGGGCTCTGGGTCCCGCGTGTCCGTGTGCGGCGGGAAGAGCCACGAGGACCGTGCTCCTTGCTGAGCTCTGCACAGGGTGCTCCACTCCAGGGCCCAGAGTATCCTAGGGACCGAGCCACAGCTGGGCCATCTGTGCACAGAGTTAGCCACATTCGCCCGAGAACCCCTTAGTGAGTGATGGCCTTGAACTCTGTCTCAATATCCAGCTTTCTGTTAGTTTTCGTGGCCCTCTGTACCCCTCCCCGCCCGCCCCACCTCAAGGACTCCCCTCCCGGTTCCCACGATGCTCCCTCCCTCTTCTCATAAACTCCCCCGATGTCCTTGCAGCTCTTCGGCTTCATCAACTTCTTCCTGTGGGCCGGGAACTGTTGGTTCGTGTTCAAGGAGACTCCGTGGCACGGGCAGGCCCAGGACCAGGGCCAAGGCCCTGGCCCCGAGAGCGCAGCCGAGCAGGGCGCCGTGGAGAAGCAGTAAGCAGCCCCCACCTGGCCACTCCCGAACAGGACGCACCTCTTCAACCATCTCGGCTCCCAGGACCTTCCTCTTCCTGCTCCTCCAACCCTCCTCCCCTGCCCCTCTGGGCTCTGGGCTCTGAGAAGTCACCCATGGGTGGGCAGCCCTCCCTTCCGGTGGCTTCCTGTCCCTCCTCTGCCGGAGCCCCTCCCATGGCAGGGACACAGTGCTCCTTGTCTGCTGCCTGGACCTGGGCACCTCACCCAGGGTCGTAGGGACCCTCACGGCCTCTGCTGCAGACGAGGGCTGGAGGCAGGAGACCAGAGTCCTGAGACTGGTTCCCAGCAGCCACCTCTATCCACCTGTCCAGCTTCAATAAAAGTGGGGGGAGGGGAAACTGGCTGGCAGCCTTCTCCCTGGTCCCTTGCATGGAGGGCCCACCCGTGCTGTAGAGACCCCTCTTCAATGGCTGCCACCTGGGCCTGTGCCTGCACTGCTTGCCACAGAGCCCTGGCTCAGCGTGCTGCCCGCTCTCCTCTGGCCTCTGCTGCCCACTGAGCCCGCCGGGTGGAAGCCAAACAGCTTCAGAGGGTCCCGATGCCTTAGACTCAGTGGGGAGCAGACACACTGCAAATGCATTGAAATTCAAGAAACTAAAGCCAGGAAACATGCGGGGAGTCAGTTTCTTCTATTCCCCAGCCCTCCCTCCCGGCCCTCCAAGCCGACTCCTCCTACCAGCCCCCTAAACTCACACTGGCCCTCAGCGCCTCACCTCCCGCCCTGACCTCCCTCCTGGGCGTGGCCTCACACTTGGGACACAGCCCTTCCCTCATCCCCCTCCCCCCTGGGTCTGAGGCATTCAAGGTCCTTTCCCAAGCCTGGCCAGGCCTTCCTTTCATTCCTGTGGGGCCAGACAAGGGCTCTGGAAAGGCCCAAAGGACCATTCATGAGGCCACATTGCCCCGGACCCAGGACATGGATGGATGGGCCCACTTCTTCATTCTCTGCCCCACCCCCTCCTCCTTGGCCCTCCTTTTCACACTTTCTCTTCTCACCTCACCAATGGACGGTGCCTTCGCCCTTTGCCCTCCCGCCTCACCTCTCCCAGGCCCTCCCGCCCCACCCCGTCCAGGCAGGCCGATGCTATTGGTGCTTCTTCATTTCGGGACCCAGTTCCATATTTGTCTTTGGTGTGTCTCCTTCAGTTCCTCTCTGAACCCCAGAGCCTAAGACCCAGTGCCCACAGGGAAAGGGCCATCTGTCCCCCACCCGGCTCCTTCCCAGTCCGCGCTGGCCATAGGGTTGTTGCCCAGAGAAGGATGAAGAAGGATGAATCCAGCCATTTTCCAACCCCAGTGCCAATTATCCCATTATCATCTCAGAGGCGAATGTGCCCTGTGCCAGTCTCTGCTCAGGACTGAGCCAACCCCTCCAACCTCCTCAGTTCCCTAACCGCCATTCACAGGAGCATGCGCCTCCCTGGGGTGCCAACCATTTCTTCTCTGGGGCAGAGTCCCCCCTCCCCACTTGATGGGGGTAGATTTATGCCCTCAAATCCCGCAGAGCCCTTGGGTATAAGACTTAGGCCATTGTGTTTAGATTCGGGGAAAGGGATTTGAGGAAAGAGAGAGGTTACGGGGATGAGAGTGTGTCTAAGTCTGAACCTCTCTCTGTCCTGAGCTGCCCGCCCCCCATGGTCACTCGAGGACAAGGAGGGACACAGTTTGGCCTGCAGCTCCAGAGACGCAGAGAGCAAAGGGGTGACCCTCATTTTCTTCAAGCCGGCCCCTGGTGGGGGTGTCTGGGGGCAGCTTCTATTGGAACTTTTGTTTGGATTCTGTGTACGTGTTTTTAATTTACTTAAAATGTGATGGATACAGTGTTCTCCTTTGGGGGCCGAAGTTAGCCACCGGCCTGTCCGCGGGGAAAGGGTGGGTGCCCTCCTGCCAAGGACGCCTAGCTCAGCACTTCCCCTCCAAAGGCTGGCTTCCGGTCAGCCCGGAGACCTTGATTTAGGTCACGGCCTCTCTCCCCCCGAAGAGGAAAGGCAGGGCCAGGCCGGGTGCCCAAGGGCAGGGCTGTCCTCACAGGATCCATGTCCCCTCCAACCAGGGCTGGCAGCACCGTGCTGCCTAGTGGGGCCAGAGGTAGAAGGAGGTGTCTGGTTTCTCCAGCTGCTGCAGGAGGCTCCCAGGCAGGCCCTTTGCCCTAGTAAACCCTGACCCCACCGGCTGCCCACCCAGGACCTCTCCTCACCACCGTGGCCCCAGGTTCCCGTCTCGGATCGCCGGCGTGGGCGGGAGGAGAACACTGTGTGTTGTTTTCTGGTGCTTGTTACCACACATTGGAATAAACCATGCTCGTGCTTCCAGCATTTGCCACGAAGGAGCCGAGCCTGGAGCCCCGCCGAGGATTCTTTCTCCTTCTCCCTCCCCTCGCTTTCCGTTTTTGGACAAATACCTGCATTCCCACCAACACATCCTTCTGCCCCTCTCCCCTCGGCACCCCACGCTGTAGAATCTGCAGACTGAAGAGCGGCTCCTGGTGACATGGCTCTTGGTGGCATCAATTGGTCCAAAGAGACCGAGGCTCATTAGCAAATTTAGAGACAACTCAAAAGGTGTGTGTGTGTGTGTGTGTGTGTGTGTGTGTGTGTGTGTGTGAAAGAGAGAGAGAGAGAGAGAGAGAGAGAGAGAGAGAGAGAGAGAGAAAGAGAGGAGCCTCCACATGCCGTCTTCATTTGTTCTCCTACCATCTGTGACCCAGACAAGCTTCCTGCCGGAGTCGAGGGAGGCCATATGCTTGCCCTCTTCACCAGAAAGGATCTTGTGAACCCACTCGCACCTCTCCCCGCTGACCGTCACAGGCTGCATGTACCTTCCCTAGAGAATTACACCTGGGCACAATATTACGTTCAACCTCTCCAGGACCCTGGACACCCTAGGGGTCCTCTCGGGTTCTCCAGCTAAGATTCCCTGTCCTCAGAGATCATTCTGCAGGGGAAAGTGAGAAGAAATCTGAGAGGTCTTGAAATCTTGGACTTATTTGCCTCCAATGCGATTCCCCCTTAGCGGAAGGCAGGAATATGGGGTGACCTGTGAGGGGTTGAGGAGGAATAAGAGAATTCACATCTTTCTTCTGATGTGATGGGGAAGGGCAGGCTTTTGTCTCTTGACTGTGTGAGGGTGGAAAGAAACGTTATCAGCTGAGAAAAAGAAAGAGGTGGATAATGAAGGTCTTTCCCAGGCTTAGCAAGGGAAAGGACAGATCTGATGAGAAATCTCCCCATGCCGAGGCTCTGGTAGCAGCCCTTCCCGCAGAGAAAAAATATTCTTTAGGGAAAGAAGCCAAAGTGATGGATGGAGTCAGGGTCCAGCCGGGGTTTGGGAAGAGTCAGCCCAGGGTATCGATCGCTCAGGAGGAGAGAGAGACGATCAGCAGAGAAGCTGCAAACCCAGTTCCGGGGCTGGCTCTGGCTCCGAGACAGCCTTCTGTCATCCTGACAGGTGATCTCGGTCAGCTCCGCCAGGTCCGCTCCAGCCCGGACCTCTCCAACCCTCTTCTCCGCGCCGGGGCCGCGTGGGGTTCCCACAGAGGAAGACCCTCCCCCACGCCAACCCCTGTGTCCTTCAGCGCATCCTGCAGGCTCTCCCCTCCCCTTGCCCTTCTGATTCGCAGCGCCCACCTCCCTGCACCTACCCAGCTCGATCTACAGGGGAGCGGAGTTGCTCCGCAGCCGCCTGCTGGAGCAGAGGCGCCAGCCCGCGGGGGCAGGGGCGGGGGCGCGGCTCGGGAGTGTGTGTGTGTGGGGGGGGGGGGGGGTGTTAGGGCGCGTGTGCGGTGAACTTGAGAGAGTGGGGCGGCAGCCGGAAGAATGTGTGCACAGGGGTCAGGGGAGGAGGTCCTAGGGCTTTCGTCTCTTTTCCCCCCCATCATTGTGCATTTCCGAGGAGCTCTCGCTGCAAACTCGGTGGGCAGCGGCACCTCCCGCAGGACTACATTTCCCAGAAGGCTCTGAGGCAGCGAGGGCGCGGGGCGGGCGGCCCGCGCGGCGCCTGTGCGGAGAGGGAGCTGGGACCGGGGAGGGGGAAGGCGTGCCCGCGGCGGGGCGGGGGAGGGGGCCGCGCGGCGGCGGCGCCGGGCGGGCGCGCGTCCGCGGCGGTGATGGCGGTGCGTGAACGCGCGGCGGCAGCAATGGCCGCTCTGGAGCGGCGGGTGCCGAGTCTCGATGACTTCGCGGGACAGAGCTGGAGCTCGTGGGTGGAACGGGCCGACCTGCCCGCGGCCGACGGTGAGCGAAGCTCCCCTAGAGTCCGGGGACCCCATCCCTGTCTCCCCTCCCCCCTCCGGGTCCCCGCCAGCTGAGGGGAGCTGCCGACGGGAGCCGCCGTCCGGCTCCCCGGCCCCCCAAACAAAGGACCCACCGGGTCCTAGTGCCCGCCTGCTCCTCCTCCTCCGCGCCCCCGGGTCCTAGCGCCGGGTCTCCGCTCGCAGCCCACCCTGCCCACCTCTGCCTCTGCCGGTGCCCGATACCTGTCCCCTCGTGTGCTTGCTTTTCCCTTTCTCCTTGCTTGCTGCCCCCACTTTCCGCCCCTCCTGCACCTGCCTCGGTCTTTCCCCATCCGCAATAGTCCCCTCCACGTGTTTCCCACGCACCCCACTTCCGTGCCCTCCTCCCCTTACCCCTTGTTCTTTCGCCTTCTGCCCCACGCCTCCTGCTCCTTTTCGGCTTTTGCCTGCCGCCTGGATGTTACCGGACCCCTGCCTTCTCCGCATTCGTTCACGGGTCCATCCATCCATCCATCCATCCATCCTCCCTGCCTCCCTCCTTCTGTCCATCCACCCATGCCTCCAACCCTGTGTCCTTTCTGGGCCTCTTCCCTAAACCCCACCTTCTCCAGGCCCCTGGTGCCTTTGGCGATGGGGCTGGCCGCCCCCCTCTCCTGATCTTTGTGCCCTGGACCCCAGGGAGCACCTGGCCTCGCGGCCTTTTGAGGTGACAGCGGGCATTGTGCCCCTAA